AGTCACAGCGCTCCTAGAGGACAGAGTGGAACTGCCCCACAGGGTCTCCAAGGCTGTCAGTCTTCACAGAAGCAAAGCCCAAACCACACCCACTGCTGTGGAGTCCATTCCCAGTCACAGCGCTCCTAGAGGACAGAGTGGAACTGCTCACTGCGTCTCCAAGGCTGTCAATCTTCACGGAAGAAAAATTAAAAAGGGCCTCTGCTCTGTTGCTCCTGAGGCTATAACTAGCAATGTGATGGGTGCAGACAGCTTTATGAAGCAGTTCTGTTGCTGTTGTCACTGTTAGGTGCTGTGGAGTTGGTTCTGACTCACAGTGACCCAGCGTACAGCGGAACGAAACACTGCCCGGTCCTGCGCCAGCCTCACGATCATTCCACACTGGAGCCTGTTGTTGCTGCCACTATGCCTGTCCATCTTGCTGAGGGGCCTTCTGTTTGTCGCTGATCCTCCTCGTTAGTAAACATGACATGCTTCTCCAGGACTGGTCCGCCTGACCACACGTCCAAAAGAGGTGAGACAAAGTCTGCCCGTCCTTTCTTCAAGGAGCATCTGGCTGCACTTCTTCCAAGACAGATTTGTTCATTCTTCTGGACGTCCAGGGTATACTCAATATCTTCACCAGCACCATAACTCAAAACCATCAGTTCTTTGGTCTTCCTTATTCATTGTCCAGCTCTCACATGCATATGAGGTGACTGAAAACACCATGGCTTGGGTCAGGCACACCTTAGTCCTCAAAGTGACATCTTTGTTTTTAACACTCTAAAGAAGTCTTTTGCAGCAGGTTTGCCCAGTGCAATACAATCTCCGATTTCCTGACTGCTGGCCATTGGTGTTGATTGTGGATCCAAGTAAAATGAAATCCTTGGAAAGGTCAATCTTTTCTCCGTTTCTCATAATGCTGCTACTGGTCCAGTTGTGAGGATTTCCGTTTTCTTTATGTTGAGATGTAATCCACACTGAAGGCTGTAGTGTCTGATTTTCATCAGTAAATACTTCAAGTCATCTTCACTATCAGCAGGCAAGGTTGTGTCATCTGCATATATCACAGGTTATTAATGAGTCTTCCTCCAATCCATTCTTCTTCTTCACATAGTCCAGCTTCTCAGATTATTTGCTCAGCATACACATTGAATGAGTATGGTAAAAGGTTACAACCATGAGACTCCCTTCTTGATTTTAAACCATGCAGTATCCCCTGGTTCTGTTCAAATGACAGCCTCCTAGTGTATGTTCAGGTTCCTCATGAATACAATTAAGTTCTGGAATTCCCATTCTTCTCAATGTTATCCACAGTTTGTTATGACCCACATGATCAAATGCCTTTGTACAGCCAATAAACACAGGTAAACACCTTTCTGCTATTCTCTGCTTTCAGCCAAGAGTCACCTGACGTCAGCAATGATATCCCTCGTTCCACATCCTCTTCTGAATCAGGCTTCGATGTCTGGTAATTCCCTATTGAGGTATTGCTGCAACCACTGTTGAATGATCTTCAGCAAAATTTAATTGTGTGTGATATTAATGAGGAGCTCTGGTGGCACTGTGCTTAAAGCACTGGGGGGCTAACCAAAAGGTCGGTGGTTCCAATCCACTTTTTCTGTGGGAGAAAGATGAGGCAATCTGCTTCTATAAAGATTTGCAGCCTTGGAAACTCTGTCCATTTCCTTGCTAACATTAGACATAATCGTAATTACTGTTTCCTGGGTTTGTTTAAAGTCCATGGGTGGCGCTAACACGGGTTGCACTCGACTACTCCCCTAAAGGTTGGAGATTTGAACTCCACCAGCAGTGCTGCGGAAGAAAGGCCTGGCAATGGCGTCCACAAAGATTACAGCCAAGAAAACCCTGAGAGCAGTTCCACCTTGTCACGTGAAGTATGCAGTCGTCGGAACGGACCAGGCGGCAACCGGTTTGGTGCTTTGGGTTTGGGGTTTTCTCATGTCCGCTCCCCACATACACACCGGCTTGGTGAAGGCAGAGTCCGTGCGGAGCGTGCTGACGTCTGCCGCCCCGCTGAGCAACCAGCAGCTGGCGGTGAATATGGGCGCGCGCGCGCAGGGCGCATTCCTGGGCGCGCGCGCGCAGGGCGCATTCCTGGGCGCACAGCGGCCCGCAGCTGCCGCCGCCTTGCCACCGCTTCCCCGCCGCGCTGGCCGACCGCCTTCCGGACAGGACTTTGCAGCCGGCCCCTGACTGCTGCCAGGTGCCGGGCCTCCAGGCGC